TATAGGATCAGGGACGGGGCGGGGCATCCTCCATTATTATAGGATCAGGGGCGGGGGGGTATCCTCCATTATTATAGGATCAGGGGCGGGGTATCCTCCATTATTATAGGATCAGGGACGGGGCAGGGAATCCTCCATTGTTATAGGATCAGGGACGGGGCAGGGAATCCTCCATTATTATAGGATCAGGGATGGGGCGGGGTATCCTCATTATAGGATCAGGGATGGGGCGGGGTATCCTCATTATAGGATCAGGGATGGGGCGGGGTATCCTCCATTATTATAGGATCACGGGGCGGGGGTATCCTCCATTATTATAGGATCAGGGACGGGGCGGGGTATCCTCCATTATTATAGGATCAGGGACGGGGCGGGGTATCCTCCATTATTATAGGATCAGGGATGGGGTGGGGCATCCTCCATTATTATAGGATCAGGGGCGGGGCGGGGTATCCTCCATTATTATAGGATCAGGGGCGGGGTATCCTCCATTATTATAGGATCAGGGACGGGGCGGGGTATCCTCCATTATTATAGGATCAGGGACGGGGCGGGTATCCTCCATTATTATAGGATCAGGGACGGGGCGGGGTATCCTCCATTATTATAGGATCAGGGACGGGGCGGGGTATCCTCCATTATTATAGGATCAGGGACGGGGCGGGGTATCCTCCATTATTATAGGATCAGGGACGGGGCGGGGTATCCTCCATTATTATAGGATCAGGGGCGGGGCGGGGTATCCTCCATTATTATAGGATCAGGGACGGGGCGGGGTATCCTCCATTATTATAGGATCAGGGACGGGGCATCCTCCATTATTATAGGATCAGGGACGGGGCGGGGTATCCTCCATTATTATAGTTTGATGAAGGACGGGGCGGGTATCCTCCATTATTATAGGATCAGGGACGGGGCGGGTATCCTCCATTATTATAGGATCAGGGACGGGGCGGGTATCCTCCATTATTATAGGATCAGGGACGGGGCATCCTCCACTATTATAGGATCAGGGATGGGGCGGGGCATCCTCCATTATTATAGGATCAGGGGCGGGGCGGGGCATCCTCCATTATTATAGGATCAGGGATGGGGCGGGGTATCCTCCATTATTATAGGATCAGGGACGGGGCGGGTATCCTCCATTATTATAGGATCAGGGATGGGGCGGGGTATCCTCCATTATTATAGGATCAGGGACGGGGCGGGTATCCTCCATTATTATAGGATCAGGGACGGGGCGGGTATCCTCCATTATTATAGGATCAGGGACGGGGCGGGGTATCCTCCATTATTATAGGATCAGGGACGGGGCATCCTCCACTATTATAGGATCAGGGACGGGGCGGGGCATCCTCCATTATTATAGGATCAGGGGCGGGGCGGGGTGTCCTCCATTATTATAGGATCAGGGACGGGGCGGGGTATCCTCCATTATTATAGGATCAGGGACGGGGCGGGGCATCCTCCATTATTATAGGATCAGGGACGGGGGCGGGGTATCCTCCATTATTATAGGATCAGGGACAGGGCGGGGCATCCTCCATTATTATAGGATCAGAGACGGGGTATCCTCCATTATTATAGGATCAGAGACGGGGGGGTATCCTCCATTATTATAGGATCAGGGACGGGGCGGGGGAATCCTCCATTATTATAGGATCAGGGACGGGGCGGGGAATCCTCCATTATTATAGGATCAGGGACGGGGCGGGGTATCCTCCATTATTATAGGATCAGGGACGGGGCGGGGCATCCTCCATTATTATAGGATCAGGGACGGGGAGGGGCATCCTCCATTATTATAGGATCAGGGACAGGGCGGGGTATCCTCATTATTATAGGATCAGGGACGGGGCAGGGAATCCTCCATTATTATAGGATCAGGGACGGGGGGCGGGGTATCCTCCATTATTATAGGATCAGGGACGGGGCGGGGTATCCTCCATTATTATAGGATCAGGGACGGGGCAGGGAATCCTCCATTATTATAGGATCAGGGACGGGGCGGGGTATCCTCATTATAGGATCAGGGATGGGGCGGGGTATCCTCATTATAGGATCAGGGATGGGGCGGGGTATCCTCCATTATTATAGGATCAGGGGCGGGTATCCTCCATTATTATAGGATCAGGGACGGGGCATCCTCCACTATTATAGGATCAGGGGCGGGGCATCCTCCACTATTATAGGATCAGGGGCGGGGCATCCTCCATTATTATAGGATCAGGGACGGGGCGGGGTATCCTCCGTTATTATAGGATCAGGGACGGGGGCGGGGTATCCTCCATTATTATAGGATCAGGGGCGGGGTATCCTCCGTTATTATAGGATCAGGGACGGGGCGGGGCATCCTCCATTATTATAGGATCAGGGGGGGGGTATCCTCCATTATTATAGGATCAGGGGCGGGGTATCCTCCATTATTATAGGATCAGGGGCGGGGTATCCTCCATTATTATAGGATCAGGGACGGGGCGGGTATCTTCCATTATTATAGGATCAGGGACGGGGCGGGGTATCCTCCATTATTATAGGATCAGCGATGGCGGGGCATCCTCCATTATTATAGGATCAGGGACGGGGCGGGGTATCCTCCGTTATTATAGGATCAGGGACGGGGGGGGGGGGTATCCTCCGTTATTATAGGATCAGGGGCGGGGCGGGGTATCCTCCATTATTATAGGATCAGGGACGGGGCGGGGTATCCTCCGTTATTATAGGATCAGGGACGGGGGCGGGGTATCCTCCGTTATTATAGGATCAGGGGCGGGGCGGGGTATCCTCCGTTATTATAGGATCAGGGATGGGGGCGGGGTATCCTCCATTATATTTGAGTACCTTCAAACTATTTAATTTCCATAGTTTTTACCCCCCCCCTCCCCCCGCCCAATCTTCTACCAATTTATAAATCGAACACCTAGAAGTCACGGCGGTCTGGAGGAAAGCGCTATGACGTGTAGAATGTGGAATGAAATGGGGTCCCATTATCTGATAATGAACCGTTTTCATATTCCAGATCTTCCCCCAGCTGGACTCCTGGGCACTACAGCCGCTTCTGGACGCCAGGCTGCGATACGAGAGACAGGCGGAACAGGTAACCAGAGCCTGCACACCCTCAGCTCAGATTGGCGCCTTCCTTCCCCCAACATCAAATAAAAGACAATAATGGTTCTTCATCCTAGCCAGGTGGTGTTCAGGTTACAGCATTGGCTATGACCAAACCAATCCATGACCCAATCCCTGGCCAGCAGGTAGAATGACCTCCAACAACCGTTGGACACCAAGACCTGGGTACACACCTTGGTCCTCCCCCATCTCCAAAACACCGGAACTCCTACCGCTCATTTCTGAATGGAGTAGATGAGAGGTTAGGTACTCATCTCTGTCCTCTTCCAGGTGGAGCTCCTCCGACGTCACATGGAATCTCTGGCGCCGATGTGAAGACAGAAGTCCGATCCCAGCGCCGGATGATGCAAGAGGATCTCTCGGAATGAAGCCTCCATCCAACCAACCAACCAACCAACCCAGGAGGCCAGGCCCAGAGCACCACACTCCTGTCTACCAATATCAGCAGAGAAGGGGGAAGATGAGTGACAGCACATGAAAATGTCTGCAAGGAGATCAATGAAGGAACAACTCCACCACCACATGGTCAGAAATAAAAATTATTCAAAAACAAAAAAGAACATATGTATATTTTATCTCATTAAAAAACTCCTCCAACCAGGTCATTGGAGGACAAAGTAATAATTTCCTGGAATTTCTTTTACTCAACCAAAATTTAGGCTTTTCGCTGTCTCAACACCACCAACTATGCTCCCAAGGGGGCGGACTTTAGTGGGAGTGCTAGTCCCTCCAGGGGGGGTAGTCTTCAGTAGGGATGCTAGGCCCTCCAAGGGGGGTAGTCTTCAGTAGGGATGCTAGGCCCTCCAAGGGGGGTAGTCTTCAGTAGGGATGCTAGGCCCTCCAAGGGGGGTAGTCTTCAGTAGGGATGCTAGGCCCTCCAAGGGGGGTAGTCTTCAGTAGGGATGCTAGGCCCTCCAAGGGGGGTAGTCTTCAGTAGGGATGCTAGGCCCTCCAAGGGGGGTAGTCTTCAGTAGGGATGCTAGTCCCTCAAGGGGGGGGGGGGTAGTCTTCAGTAGGGATGCTAGGCCCTCCAAGGGGGGTAGTCTTCAGTAGGGATGCTAGTCCCTCCAAGGGGGGTAGTCTTCAGTAGGGATGCTAGTCCCTCCAAGGGGGGTAGTCTTCAGTAGGGATGCTAGTCCCTCCAAGGGGGGTAGTCTTCAGTAGGGATGCTAGTCCCTCCAAGGGGGGCAGTCTTCAGTAGGGATGCTAGTCCCTCCAAGGGGGGGGGAGTCTTCAGTAGGGATGCTAGTCCCTCCAAGGGGGGTAGACTTTCAGTAGGGAGTGCTAGTCCCTCCAAGGGGGGGTAGTCTTCAGTAGGGTGCTAGTCCCTCCAGGGGGGGGGGGGGGTAGTCTTCAGTAGGGATGCTAGTCCCTCCAAGGGGGGGGGGGGGGTAGTCTTCTGTAGGAATGCTAGTCCCTCCAAGGGGGGTAATCTTCTGTAGGAGTGCCAGTCCCTCCAAGGGGGGTAGTCTTCTGTAGTCCCTCCAAGGGGGGGTAGTCTTCTGTAGCGGGTGCCAGTCCCTCCAAGGGGGGTAGTCTTCTGTAGGGGTGCTAGTCCCTCCAAGGGGGGTAGTCTTCTGTAGGGGTGCTAGTCCCTCCAAGGGGGGTAGTCTTCTGTAGGGGTGCTAGTCCCTCCAATGGGTATGTGAAGGGTATTAGCAGAGGAACAGGAGATACCAGTCTACTAGGGATGGGTGGAGTGTGAGAAGGTTTGCTTCCCCCCTTGGTTAGGACAGGTGATGGTCTCTTCTAACCACACATCTCCAGCTCTGCCCACCAAGTTCTGGGCCCTGTAGAGTCTCATCTAGGGTGCACCTTCAGGGAACGGCCCAGGGCCCCAGTGTCAGGTGCAGATTGCTGGGACCAGGTTCTCACGTCTTATGCACCTTCACAACAGAGCGAGGTGACCCAGAGGAGAACTTTCCTCTTCTCTGATTGGAGGCGAGCTTCTTTCTTCATCAAGTAGGAGGCCATGTTGTCAAACACCGCTTTATACAGTCCGCTGAACCGGCTGGAGACGCCGCGCCTGCGGAGGAGAATATAGGCTGAACTGCTGGAAAACAATCACACATAAAAGGTGGAGCTACAATGGTTTGTCAGGGGGGCTCCTCTATATCTACACAGTGTATGGAGGAACTAACCTGTCCATCCAGCCAATCAGGTGACAGGAGCTACAATGGCTCATCAAGGCTGGAGGCTCCTCTGTATATATACAGTCATAGCCAAAATCCTTCCTGAATTTGTCACATAATGCCCCATTTCACCCAGAAAATCGCTCCAATAACAAATGTTTCGGCATTCTCATGTTTATGTCTTTGGGTTGTATCGGTGACACAAAAAAGTGGATAAACAAAAAAAGCCAAATCTGACCCATTCCACGCAAACCCTCAAAAATGGAAGACCAGAGAAGTTGGGGAAAGGAACCCTCCAATCTGAGGGACCCGGAGCAGTTGGGGAAAGGAACCCTTCCAATCTGAGGGACCCGGAGCAGTTGGGGAAAGGAACCTTCCAATCTGAGGGACCCGGAGCAGTTGGGGAAAGGAACCTTCCAATCTGAGAGACCCGGAGCAGTTGGGGAAAGGAAACCTTCCAATCTGAGAGACCTGGAGTAGTTGGGGAAAGGAAACCTTCCAATCTGAGAGACCTGGAGTAGTTGGGGAAAGGAAACCTTCCAACCTAGAGACCCGGAGAAGTTGGGGAAAGGAACCCTTCCAACCTGAGAGACCCGGAGCAGTTGGGGAAAGGAACCCTTCCAATCTGAGGGACCCGGAGCAGTTGGGGAAAGGAACCCTTCCAATCTGAGAGACCTGGAGTAGTTGGGGAAAGGAACCCTTCCAATCCTGAGAGACCCGGAGAAGTTGGGGAAAGGAACCCTTCCAACCTGAGAGACCCGGAGTAGTTGGGGAAAGGAACCCTTCCAATCTGAGGACCTGGAGTAGTTGGGGAAAGGAACCCTTCCAATCTGAGAGACCGGAGAAGTTGGGGAAAGGAACCCTTCAATCCGAGAGACCCGGAGAAGTTGAGAAAAGGAACCCTTCCAACCCGAGAGACCCGGAGCAGTTGTGAAAAGGAACCCTTCCAATCCGAGAGACCCGGAGCAGTTGTGAAAAGGAACCCTTCCAATCCGAGAGACCCGGAGCAGTTGGGGAAAGAAGAGCGATCCAAAATTCCAGTAGAGAGGTGGAAGAAACTCATTGATGGTTACAGGAAGTCATTGATTTCAGGTATTTTTTCCAAGGAGTGTGCTACCGAATATTACATGGAGGGTGCCAATAATTTTACCCATTTTGGGGGGGGGGGGGGGTTTGGGTGGAATGGGTCAGATTTGGCTTTTTCTTTCTCCACTTTTTTTGTGTCACCGAGACAAACCAAAGAAAAACACGAGAATGCCGAAACAATCCTCATGGCAGCAATTTTCTGGGCGAAGTGGTGTACCAAGGCCAAACATTCCGGGGGAGGGATACTTTTGATCAGGACCATTTGGAGCCCTGCCCTCACTGCCATTGGCGGCTACAGCTGTCAATCATCGGGTCCCAGCTGGAGATTCCCCGCCGGCACCCACTGAGGAAAACTGACAGGGGGTAAGCAACACAGGTCTCACTCCTGCCAGCAAGGACATGCTGCTTTCTATCTCTCTGCACAGCATGTCTACATAGTAACACAGCACACAGTTAACCCTTTGATGGCCCCTCACATTAACCCCTTCCTGCCCAGTGCCATTAGTACAGTGTCAGTGCTTTTTATTGGCACCGATCACTGTATTGGTGTCACTGGGGATGTCCGTGACACCAAGTCAGTTCCCCCCTCAGTGTTAGAATGCCCGCCACAGTCCCGCTATAAGTCGCTGATTGCCGCCATTTCTAGTAGAAAAATAATAAATAATAATTCCAGCCTCTCCCGCCATTTGTGGGCGCGATAACGTTCGCGTAAACCGATCCATTTACACATATTGGGATTTTTTAATTTTTTTTTTAGCAAAGACCTACATTTTGGCCTAAATTTATGAATACATTTGATTTTTTTTTTTTTACTGGATGTTTCATAGCGAAAAATCAAAAACTTTTTTCTCAAAAACGGTCTTTTTTTTGTTTAGAGCGCAAAAATGAATTAAAAACCGTCAAAAGAAAGCTCAATTTAAGGGAAAAAAAAAAAAAAAGACAAATTTAATTGAGTTGCATGACTGCACAATGGTCAGTTAAAGTGGAATTCCAGCTGATTTATTGGGCAGCACAGCGGCTAAGTGGTTAGCATTTTCCGCCTGGCAACACGCGGGTCTTCAGTTTGTATCCCATGACGGCACCACCTGCCTGGAGTTTGCATGTTCTCCCTGTGTGGGTTTCCTCCGGGTACTCGGTTTCCTCCCACACTCCAAAGACATGCTGGGAGGTGAATTGGCTCCTGTCTGAATTGGTCCTAGTATGTGAATGTGAGTTAGGGACCTTAGATTGTACGCTCCTCGGGGGCAGGGCCTGATGTGAAGGTACAATATATATGTAAAGCGCGGAGTACATTGATGGCGATATATAAGTACCTGAAATAAATAAATGTCAGCAGCTACAAAAACTGAAAACTTCCGATCGCCTTAAGCGATTGCAGTGGGAGTGGGTACCTGTCAAATTCGGGTACCCCCTCCCCCCCCCCCCCCAAAGGTGCCAATCCTTAACGGGGAGCAGGGAACAAAGACTAAAAGCAGAACTTCCTCTTTTGGGCGGAGCTCCGCTTTAACAGGGAGAGGGCGATATGTAACATGTGTATCACAATCGACTTTTTCATGCATACGTACTTTTATATGCTGGGGGAGGGGGGCTACATTTTTTGGGGGGGGAGGGGATGTTATGTGCTTGGGTGTAACTTTTTTTTTTTTTTTATTGCAAAAAATGATTTTTTTTTAATACTTAATATTTTATTTTTCATCACATAGGAGACAATGTCCCTATGTGAAGATTTTGGGTGACAGGTTCTCTTTATTGAGACATCCAAGGACCCTGGATGTCTCCCCTGAATGTAATGCAGGGCACATCGCACCGTATTACATTCTGTCCCGGCCTCAATTACCAGAAATCTCTCAACGGGGACCCGGAAGTGACATCATAACGTCACTTCTGGGTCAGGACAAGAAAGGGGAGGGGATGTGTCCGCTCTCCTCCCTCCCCTCTAGCCGCCGGCGTTGAGCTGGTCCCGGGCCCGCAGATGGGCAAGCAGAGCCCAGGAGACAGTGGGCGGGGTGGGAACCTCACTGTCCTAGAACATCATACATACGTGGAATGTCCATCACACGTGGTTTCCAGGGCACGCTACGAGAGAACACGGAACACCAGACATCCCTATACTCTGCATTATGATAGGATGAGGTAGGCGGGATGATCAGAGATTGGACGAGACGTCACATGACTCACCTTCCATCTGCTCCCAGTTCTCTCGGATGGTCTCGGACAGTCTCTTGGTGTATTCATCTGGTGGTGCCGCCTGGGCAGAGAACAGACAATGTCACATATTTCAGGCACACTCCACCATCTCATCCAGCCTCCTGCCACACCTCCGAGGGTCCTCGCCCCTCCCCGCCACACCTCCGAGGGTCCCCCGCCCCCTCACCGCCACACCTCCGAGGGTCCCCGCCCCCTCACCACCACCTCCCAGAGGCCCCTCGCCCCTCCCCGCCACCTCTCTAGGAAGCCGCGCCCCTCCCCAAGGAGCCTCGCCCCCTCCCCGAGCGGCCTTGCCGCCCTTCCCCGCCACCTCTCCATGGGTTCTTGCCCCTCCGCGCCACCTCTCCGAGGATTCTCGCCCCTCCACGCCACCTCCCAGAGGAGCCTCACCCCCTCCCCGCCACCTCTCCATGAGGATTCTCGCCACTTCCCAGAGGATTCTTGCCCCTCCCCGCCACCTCCCAGAGGATTCTCGCCCCCTCCCAGAGGATTCTCGCCACCTCCCCAAGGAGCCTCGCCCCCTCCCCGCCACCTCTCCAGAGGGACCTCGCCCCCTCCCCGCCACCCCCCCGAGGAGCCTCGCCCCCTCCCCGCGGAGCCTCGCCCCCTCCCCGCCACCTCTAAATGATTCTCTCCCCTCCCCGCCACCTCTCCATGAGGAGTCTCACTCTGCCTCCTCTATGAACAGGACCCTCCCATTCTCCCTGCACCCACATCTGTACATCACTCACGTGCCAGGAAACCTTGTCGTATCTGTGCAACTCTATGGGGTTCTCTTTCACCCCTGACAACACCCACAGGGAGGCGGAGTCCTGAAAATCCAGGTCCAAGGGGACATAGGGCAGAGAAACGTACTGGGTGTGAGAGAGGGAGGGGCCACTGGACATCGAGAACAGGTACATCCCCGACACCCTGCAGAAGAAGCGAGCTCAGAATAATTCTGTTACCCTGCAAATGCCATTGTCATCTACCTGGCTAGTACCCTTCCCCCGAGACCCCTCCTCCCACCTCTCAGGCTGGTACCCTTCCCCCATGACCCCTCCTCCCATCTCTCCGGCTGGTACCCTTCCCCCGAGACCCCTCCTCCCACCTCTCCGGCTGGTACCCTTCCCCCGAGACCCCTCCTCCCACCTCTCCGGCTGGTACCCTTCCCCCGAGACCCCTCCCTCCCACCTGTCTGGCTGGTACCCTTCCCCCGGGACCCCTCCCTCCCACCTATCCAGCTGATACCCTTCCCCCGAGACCCCTCCCTCCCACCTGTCTGGCTAGTACCCTTCCCCCGAGACCCCTCCTCCCACCTGTCCAGCTGGTACCCTTCCCCCATGACCCCTCCTCCCATCTCTCCGGCTGGTACCCTTCCCCCGAGACCCCTCCTCCCATCTCTCCGGCTGGTACCCTTCCCCCGAAACCCCTCCTCCCACCTGTCCAGCTGGTACCCTTCCCCCGAGACCCCTCCTCCCATCTGGCTAAAACCCTTCCTATTGCATCACCCCGATCCCCTCCTCCTGAAGTATTGAACTCCCACCTGTCACAGTCCTATACCCAGAGCCCCTCCTCCTGGAACTCTCCACCTGTCACAGTCCTATACCCAGAGCCCCTCCTCTCTGGAACTCTCCAGCCCCTCCTCCTGGTCTCCACCTGTCATAGTCCTATACCCAGAGCCCCTCCTCCTGGAACTCTCCACCTGTCATAGTCCTATACCCGGAGCCCCTCCTCCTGGAACTCTCCACCTGGATACTCCTCCTGGAACTCCCACCTGTCATAGTCCTATACTCGGAGCCCCTCCTCCTGGAACTCTCCACTCCCACCTGTTTTTCTGTCCTATACCACAGACTGGTGCTTTCCTTCTGAACCCCCCCCCGCCCCCCCCCCCCCCCCCCCCCCCCCCTAGTTCACCTTTCCAACTGGAACCCTTCCTATTCCTCTGCCCAGGGTCCTCTCCTCCAGGTACTCTCCACCCAGAAACGTCTCTACTCTGTTTTCTGCAAACCCCTACCTCCAGACACTTCATCCCTTCACCCCGAACCCCACTATTACCTCCCCTGTACTCATCATTCTACTGGTGTTCGCACACTTACTTAAATGCCCAAAATCCCACCACCTCCTCCTAGCACTTCTAGAAACCTCCACCACCCTGAGCCCCCTCTTCCTCCCGTTGCCATCACCAAGACTGGAACTTTAACTTCCCAGATTTCTGATCAGATACTGATCAGCCATTACCAAAATCATCAATACTGGAAGCCCCTCCTCCTCCATGGGAACTCTACACTTCCACCATCCCAGGAACCTTCATGTCCTCCACCAACTCACTCCTTGACCATGAGAGCTTCCACACCACACCACCAACCACAGCTGGGACACAGCAGCCAGCGATCCTAAACTGGGATGACGATCATTTCTGTCCCTGGAAGCCGCTCCTTCTCCGTGGGAACTCTACACTTCCACCATCCCAGGAACCTTCATGTCCTCCACCAACTCACTCCTTGACCATGAGAGCTTCCAACCACACCACCAACCACAGCTGGACACAGCAGCCAGCGATCCTAAACGGATGACGATCATTTCTGTCCCTGGAAGCCGCTCCTTCTCCGTGGGAACTCTACACTTCCACCATCCCAGGAACCTTCATGTCCTCCACCAACTCACTCCTTGACCATGAGAGCTTCCAACCACACCACCAACCACAGCTGGACACAGCAGCCAGCGATCCTAAACGGATGACGATCATTTCTGTCCCTGGAAGCCCATCTTCTCTAGCCCAGACTCCCCCACCAATAAGCCCGTTTTCTCTGTGATATTGATAACCGTGGGCCCCCACCTACCCATCACACAGCACAGCCAGGTGTTCTCCTCCCGGGGAGCAGCTCAGTCTGGTCACTGCAAACCTCTGCAAGGAGGAAAACACACATCAAGAACAAAACAGGGAGACCCGCGTCCCCCACAGAGGAACCAAAGACTAAAATCTGACCAAAGAGCAACTTTAACCTACCGGGCCCTTCTACCCCCCTTCCCCCCCAGGCCAATTTTCAGCTATCAGCGCTGTCACACTTTGAATGACAATTGCGCGGTCATGCAACGCTGTACCCAGACGACATGTTTATCATTTTTTGCGCACACAGAGCTTTCTTTTGGTGGTATTTACTCCCCGCTGGGGGTTTTATTTTTTGCACTATAAACAAAAAGAAGGGCAAAAAATGTGAAAAAAAAGTTTTTCTTTGTTTCTGTTATAAAATTTTGCAAACGGGTAATTTTTCTCCTTCACTGATGTGCGTTGATGAGGCTGCACTGATAGACGGCAATGATGGGCACAGGTGGGTGGCAATGATGGGCACAGGTGGGTGGCACTGCTAGGCAATGATGGGCACAGGTGGGCGGCACTGCTAGGCAAGGATGGGCACAGGTGGGCGGCACTGCTAGGCAGCGATGGGCACTGGTGGGTGGCACCGCTAGGCAGCGATGGGCACTGGTGGGTGGCACCGCTAGGTAGCGATGGGCACTGGTGGGTGGCACCGCTAGGTAGCGATGGGCACTGGTGGGTGGCACCGCTAGGTAGCGATGGGCACTGGTGGGTGGCACCGCTAGGTAGCGATGGGCACTGGTGGGCGGCACTGCTAGGCAGCGATGGGCACTGGTGGGTGGTACTGCTAGGCAATGATGGGCACTGGTGGGCGGCACTGCTAGGCAGCGATGGGCACTGGTGGGTGGTACTGCTAGGCAATGATGGGCACTGGTGGGTGGCACTGCTAGGCAGCGATGGGCACTGGTGGGTGGTACTGCTAGGCAGCGATGGGCACTGGTGGGTGGTACTGCTAGGCAATGATGGGCACTGGTGGGTGGTACTGCTAGGCAATGATGGGCACTGGTGGGTGGTACTGCTAGGCAATGATGGGCACTGGGGGTGGTACTGCTAGGCAATGATGGGCACTGGTGGGTGGTACTGCTAGGCAATGATGGGCACTGGGGGGTGGTACTGCTAGGCAATGATGGGCACTGGTGGGTGGTACTGCTAGGCAATGATGGGCACTGGTGGGTGGCACTACTGGGCAACGATGGGCACTGGTGGGTGGCACTACTGGGCAACGATGGGCACTGGTGGGTGGCACTACTAGGCAATGATGGGCACTGGTGGGTGGCACTACTAGGCAATGATGGGCACTGGTGGGTGGCACTACTGGCACTGATCATTAGGGCCGATCCATCCTCTGACATTTCCTCACGCTGTGACCGTGCAGCTGATGACCGGTAACAGCATTTACCGGTGACCTCCTGTGTCATTCTACTACATCACATGATCAGCAGTGTCCATGGATCACGGAGATCGCCGGGTTCCCTCCCCCGGGGGAGCGCGGGAGGACGTCATATGACACCCTCCCAGGACTGGACAGTCAGGAAACTGGTGAGTAGAGGTGGAAAGCAGAATGGTCAGGAAAAGCACAAAATCACTTTTGCATTCACTGAAACCCGTCTTAGGTTTGTGGACTTTGCACCTCATTAAGGACTGCCAACGCCTGCGTCGGCACCATCTTCTGTTTAATGCAGTGTTTCTCAACTCCAGTCCTCATGGACCCCCAACAGGTCATGTTTTCAGGATTTCCCTCAGATGAAACAGCTGTGGTAATTACTAAGGCAGTGAAACTGATCAAATCACCTGTGCAAAATAATGGAAATCCTGAAAACATGACCTGTTGGGGGTCCATGAGGACTGGAGTTATAATAGAGGGACATACTGCTGACCCCCCCACAGTATTTCTCCAGTAGGACCCCTCACCTGGATTTCCTCATGGTCTCTTGGCCTGGGGACATCTCTGAGGTTCCACCTGTGAATCTCTTCCCCGGATTGATATTTCCAGAGCCGCACCGTTTCATCCTGCAAAGACCATGGTGACACTGAGGGGGGGGGGGGGGAAGAGTCAGATGTGGAGGTGAGCGGGAGGGTCAGGAGCCCAAACCACACAGAGGAATGGGAGAGTAGGGAGGAGAGTCCTGGGCACAGAGGAGCAGTGGGCACAGAGGCGGGAGCAGTCGCGGGCACAGAGGCGGGAGCAGTCGTGGGCACAGAGGCGGAGCAGTCGCGGGCACAGAGGCGGGAGGGGGTCGTGGGCACAGAGGCGGGAGCAGTCGTGGGCACAGAGGCGGGAGCAGTCGCGGGCACAGAGGCAGAGGCGGGAGCAGTCCCAGGCACAGAGGCGGGAGCGTCGCGGGCACAGAGGTCGTGGGAGCAGGCGGGTCGTGGGCACAGGCGGGAGAGGCGGGGAGCAGGAGAGTCCCGGACACAGTGGGCACAGAGGCGGGAGCAGTCGCGGGCACAGAGGCGGGCACAGAGGTGGGAGCAGGGGTCGCGGGCACAGAGGCGGGAGGGGTCGCGGGCACAGCGGGAGGGGTCGCGGGCACAGAGGCGGGAGGGGTCGTGGGTGCGGACAGGACAACAGGTGGGAGAAGTAATACTGAGCACAGAGAAGGAAAAATAGAGTCATCATGGGCACATGATGGGAGTAATGATCAGTACTGAAGTGGGTGGGAGAAGCAGTACTGGGCACAGAGATAGGAGAAATGACGAGTAATAAACACAGATAGTAAGGGGGGTGGCAGAAGCAGCAGTACTGGGCACCGACAGAAGAGTGGATGGGAGAAGCAGTACTCGGCACCAACAGGAAAGTAGGAGAAGCAGTACTGGACACAGACAAAAGTGGATGGGAGAAGCAGTACTGGGCACAGACAAAAGTGGATGGGAGAAGCAGTACTCGGCACAGACAAAAGTGGATGGAATCAGTACTGGGCACTGACAGAAAAGTGGGTGGAGAATCAGCAGTACTGGGCACCGACCGGAAAGTGGATGGGAGAAGCAGCAGTACTGGGCACCGACAAAAAAGTGGATGGAATCAGTACTGGGCACCAACAGGAAAGTGGATGGAATCAGTACTGGGCACCGACAGGAAAGTGGATGGAATCAGTACTGGGCACCGACAGGAAAGTGGATGGAATCAGTACTGGGCACCGACAGGAAAGTGGATGGAATCAGTACTGGGCACCGACAGGAAAGTGGATGGAATCAGTACTGGGCACCGACAGGAAAGTGGATGGAGAATCAGCAGTACTGGGCACCGACCGGAAAGTGGATGGGAGAAGCAGCAGTACTGGGCACTGACATGAAAGTGGATGAGAGAAGCAGCAGTACTGGGCACTGACAGGAAAGTGGATGGAGAAGCAGCAGTACTGGGCACTGACAGGAAAGTGGATAGGAGAAGCAGCAGTACTGGGCACTGACAGGAAAGTGGATAGGAGAAGCAGCAGTACTGGGCACTGACAGGAAAGTGGACAGGAGAAGCAGCAGTACTGGGCACTGACAGGAAAGTGGATGGGAGAAGCAGCAGTACTGGGCACTGACATGAAAGTGGATGAGAGAAGCAGCAGTACTGGGCACTGACAGGAAAGTGGATAGGAGAAGCAGCAGTACTGGGCACGACAGGAAAGTGGATAGGAGAAGCAGCAGTACTGGGCACTGACAGGAAAGTGGATATTAGAAGCAGCAGTACTGGGCACTGACAGGCAAGTGGACAGGAGAAGCAGCAGTACTGGGCACTGACAGGAAAGTGGACAGGAGAAGCAGCAGTACTGGGCACTGACAGGAAAGTGGACAGGAGAAGCAGCAGCAGCACTTGGCACTGACAGGAAAGTGGATAGGAGAAGCAGCAGTATTGGAAACTGACAGGAAAGTGGGTGGGAGCAGTACTGGGCACTGACAGGAAAGTGGGTGGGAGAAGCAGCAGTACTGGGCACTGACAGGAAAGTGGGTGGGAGAAGCAGTATTGGGCACTGACAGGAAAGTGGGTGGGAGAAGCAGTACTGGGCACTGACAGTGGGAAGGATCAGTAATGTGCACAGAGATGGGTGAAGAAGCAGCAATGTTTACAAAGAGGAGAGCCACCTGGGGAGACCAGAGCTGAACACTTACCCCCGATCCAGAGAGCAGCATATTATCGGGTCCGGGCAGCACCAGCAGCTGTGACACAAACCTGCGGACAGAAATCAGTGGAGTGAGCCGACATCAGGCTGGGGTGTCACACACATAATAGGTGAACGCTGTGTATACAGTTCTCTGCCAATGACACCCCAATATACAGAGATATGGAAGAGTCACCAGGAAACAGAAGACATGGAGAGATGTCCAGTCTATTCCTCCACAGCTTCCAGAACTGCCCCGGATCTACAGAGCCAACTCAATGAGAGAGCTCAGAGAGCACTCTGGGGTCTCCGCCCATGACACCACACTCCGCCCATGACACCACACTCCGCCCATGACACCACACTCCATCAGAGTGCAGTGCAGATACATGAACGACCAAACACAGCAAACCACCAATGATGACATCCACCACCAATGACATCATACTCCATCGGACTGAAGTGCGGATACAGCAATGACGACACGGGGCTCACCACCACTGACACCATACTCTACAATCTCCCCATACCTCTCCCCCACTCACTCAGTGTGTCCTAGACAGAATGAACTGATGACATGTGGCGCCCCCCACAGGCTGACCCGGATCTTCTCGTCACGGTCGCAGGTAATAATATATCGCCCATCTGGAGTCACCACCTATGGGGAGGGAAAAGACTAATGTCAGCCAATTAGACGCAGGGTGGGTCATTTGTCTGTTTTGTGCCATACTCATGAATGACATCCTCCACTTGGCCCCCCCGCCCTTTCCCCCGAGCGGCCCTCCCGCTCAGCCCCCGCCCTTTCCCCCGAGCGGCCCTCCCGCTCAGCCCCCGCCCTTTCCCCCCGAGCGGCCCTCCCGCTCAGCCCCCCGCCCTGTCCCGAGCGGCCCTCCCGCTCAGCCCCCGCCCTGTCCCGAGCGGCCCTCCCGCTCAGCCCCCGCCCTGTCCCGAGCGGCCTCTCCCGGAGTGGCCCTCAGCCCCCGCCCTGTCCCGAGCGGCCCTCCCGCTCAGCCCCCGCCCTGTCCCGAGCGGCCCTCCCGCTCAGCCCCCGCCCTGTCCCGAGCGGCCCTCCCGCTCAGCCCCCCCCCTGTCCCGAGTGCCTCTTTCCCGGAGTGGCCCTCCAGCTCAGCCCCCGCCCTTTCCTAATCCACTGTATTGGGCCTTTGAAGCATCTTTTAAATAAAGTTTTGGAGGAGGTGTTTAGGGATCAGCAGTTCTGCCGTGTCCCCGCTGGGGAGGTCCGCTCCTCTCCTTCACTCTGGGTACAGAAACTGATCAGTTATCCAAAGTTTTGTGCCATCAACGGCACAGGAAGTGAGGAGAAATCTTCCGGGGGGAGTTCCAGTGGCAACCGTCTAAGAGATTTTTTTTTTTCTTCACTTCCTGTTCAGAGACACGGGAAGAAGATAATGAAATTTTCCCCGGACAGGACACAGATGGCAAACACAAAACTGAGAGGAGCCTTCCCCACCCCAGTCTCAGCATGTCCCCCATTCCCCCCCCCCTTCTATGTAGGCCATTTTTCAATGCTGGGATACTTTGAGTGACAATAACTCCACCATACAAACACTTGGCCCAAATTAACCTCTTCAGCCTCCCTCGATACGTCTGGACATCGCCAGGTTGAAGTGGTTTATACCAGGATGACACCTGCAGTTGCAGCCGCCATCTTTTTTTTTGCCAGCAATGCGGTTTCAAGTAAAGTGATCCTAGCGCCTAATAGCTGCTGGATCACTTTTACAGATCAGGTGCTCAATCATCTCTACGGGTAAGTTAGCTGGCAATTCCGCCTACTGATCTTAGAGATGACTGAGGACTGGAACTCTCGCAATCATCTCTATGTTATCAGAAACCAAAACCAACAAGGATTTAGTCACTGGATCACATTTACAGGTGGAGGAAGGGGATCCAGAGATTCCCCCCCGCCTAACTCTCCTACTGCCTTCCCTGGCTCTCCTGTCCCACCGGAGAGCTCGGGACTGAAACCGGCAATTCCGCCCACAGACCTTGGATGATCGAGGAATGGAATGTCCCTGATCATCTCTATGGTATCAGAAACCAGAACCAACAAGGATTTAGTCACTGGATCACATTTACAGGTGGAGGAAGGGAATACAGAGGTTCCTCCATCCAACTCTCCTGTCCCACCAGGAAGCCCGGGGCTGAAGCCGACAATTCCACCCAATGACCTTAGATGATCAAGGGAATGGAATGTCCACAAGGATTTAGTCACTGTATCATTTCAGGTCCTACATAGTTCCTATCCAACTCTCCTGTCCCACCAGGAAGCCCTCTGAAGCCGACAAACCAATGACCTTAACAATGGGATCATCTCTTATCAGTCAACTCACTGGATCACATTTACAGGTGAAGGAAGGGGAGCCAGGAGATTCCCCACCGTCCAGCCCTGCTACTGCCTTCCCGGGCTCTCCTGTCCAACCAGGAAGCCCATGTTTCTGCCCACTGACCTTAGAGATGACCGAGGACTGGAACTCTCCCAATCACCTCTATGGTATCAGAAACTGGAAGCAATGAGGATGTAGTCCCTTCCGGTTCCGGTTTGTTGTTAGCAGTCATTGTCTTGTCCATGCATCTGATAAAACCGATCTTGGGTTTCATCCCATGCTTTGGAGGCCAGAAGAGACATCTGGGGGGTCTAATAGTCCTGAGATCTCTCCATAGAGGACCTGCATGGCACAAGGGCTGATGGTCATCCTTTATGATGGCTATTAAAAGCGCCCCGTCCCACCGCGCTGGAAGGCGAGCGAACGCATATATATGTAGAAAGGAACGGCACCACATGTGAGGTATCGGCGCAAACTTCAAACAGGTGACCTGTGAAGGCTAAGCATCACGCAATCCTCGTAGCGAATGTCCCCCTCACCAGGTCCAGCAGCATGGACAGATGGCCGAGCTCCAGGCGCCCCTCTTCTTGTGTGTTGGTCACAGAGAAGGAAAAGACGTCTCCAGACTTGTCCGCCACCAAGACGTAGGACTCACAGGCTGAGAACGTGACCGCTGTGCAGCGCCGCGACACCCATCTGTGGACAGACAAGGTGACAGGTCATCCCTTGGGGGGGCAATCATCTGTGGACAGACAAGGTGACAGGTCATCCCTGGGGGGGCAATCATCTGTGGACAGACAAGGTGACAGATCATCCCTGGGGGGGGGGGGGGGGGGGGGGGGAATTATCTGTGGACAGACAAGGTGACAGGTCATCCCTGTGGGGAGGGGTGGGGGCAATCATCTGTGGACAGACAAGGTGACAGGTCATCATGGGGGGGGCAATCATCTGGGGGGGCAATCATCTGTGGACAGACAAGGTGACAGGTCATCCCTGGGGGGGGGGGGCAATCATCTGTGGACAGACAAGGTGGTGAATAAGGGAAAGGGGTGATTAAAAAAAAGTAAATCCCCGAGGTAGTGGTCTCTGTCTGGAGGGAGGAGTCTCATCACTGGAGGGTGGGGGTCCCAGTCTCTCATCACCGACTGACGCTGACACCCTCCTCCCAGGGCCGGGTCGGTTCGGAACAAGATTGAGGCGTTTGTGAGTCATCTGTCAGATTAGAAAGTATCTCCCAGAGGAGGAGGGGTCTCGAGTCTGGAGGGAGGGTCTCGTCAGTCTAGAGAGGGCGGGGCCTCGGTCTCTCTCACCTGACGCTGACCCTCTCCCAGGCGGGGTCGCTCGGTTCGGAATAGGACGAGGCGTTTGTGGTCATCTGCCAGAGCGAAAGTATCTCCCGGAGGAGGAGGGGTCTGTTGGAGGCTGGGTCCTCGGTCTAGAGGGCAGGGTTTTGGTCTAGATGGGCGGGGCCTTCGGTCTCTCACCTACGCTGACCCTCTCCCATGCCAGAGCGAAGTAAATTTTTCCCGGGGGAGGAGGGGGGGCCTTTTTGGAAAGGGGGGGTCTCGGGCAAAGGCGGGTTTTGGGCCCAGGGGGGGCGGGGCCTCGGTTTAATCCCCCTGACCCCTGAAACCCCCCCCAAAAGGGGGGCGGGGCGGAAAAGGGCGAGGCTTTGGGGGTCATCTGCCGAGCGAAGTATCCCCGAGGGGGAGAAGGGGGCGGCCAGGATCCTGTCCCGGTTTTTCGGATCTTTGCTGGGAAAGGGTCTTTGGGTGTGGGGGGAGAAAGGAAAAGGGGGATTTAAAAGCGTGGGGGGGGCAGGGAACGTGGGAACTTTCAGACTCCATTTTTACTCGTGGTCACCCCGTTTTTTTAGCCCGTCTGGTTCACAAAGGGTCGCTGGGCTAAAGGTGAAACCTGGAGGGCCATTTGAGCCATTAAGGAGGGGGAACGTTCACTTTTTGGGGCTGCCTTTCCCTGGACCCTTCCCCCTTTCCTTAACCTCGGGGGCCACCCGGGGCCCGTATGGGCACCAGCTGAACAGTCCCCCCTCCCAAAAACAGCTTCACTCTCCAATTAAAACCCGGCCTTTTAAACCAAAAGAGTTTTAAACCCCTTAAAGGCGTAATTGGGAAATTTTTTCCCGGGGGTGGAAGTAACCCCAAAACCCCCTGCTTTGGGGTTTGGGAAAGTTCCCCCCCTGTGCTTGCGTGGGTTTCCCCCCCCGGGTGCTCCCCGGGTTTTCTCCCATCTCCCCAAAAACAGGGTGGGGGGTTTTAAATGGCTCCAGTCTAAATTTGGCCCCCAATATTTTTATGTTTTGAGTCGAGATAGCGACCTTCAAAAGGGACCCCCTCCCCGGGGGGGGGGAACCC